AGAGAGAGAGAGAGAGAGAGAGAGTGAGTCGGAAAACTTGCACTTCGCGGACACATCCAACGAAAATAGAATCGCAAAGTCTCAAACTCGCGTTTCTACAATAAAACACGCGTATATATTATGTATGTATATAGTAGTACGTGGTAGCTCGAAAAAAATACTCAAACACTTATATAGAAAGAACGCTTTTACGTTTCGTACGAAACATTTTGAACATTTCGTCAGCACTGTAACGAGGCTTGGCGATTTCAAGTTGAAAATTGTACGTAAAAGCTGCAAGACATCTGATGCAAATATATAAAAGTAGAACTATTTTCGTTATATATTAATAAGCCTCAATGTTTATATGGAACCACTTTCAACATTTATTATTTATGTTGGGGATGATAATTCACGGTATATACTGAATATATGTTTGTAACAAATGTATTGCAACTTCTATCTATATACATTACATTTACAGATTGATTTCATTCAAATCGTATCAATTTCGAATTTGTCCCATTACGATGCTGCGATAAGTATTCAAGTACTTTTGCCAGCCACCGTATATGTATATGTATATGTACGTATGTGTATATGTATGTCCCTGTGACAGATGTTGGATACAATTGGAGATTTTGAGTGTGCTACAATTCGCAATTCAATCATCAAACTAGGACCACTTAAAATTGTCAAAGTTGCACAATACAATGGACAATGTTAAATAGTGAGTTGCGTGAGATTTATTTAAGTTTACGCTACTTGATCATGGAAGTACGAAGGTATTCTTCAATAAAAACTACTAATTAATTAAATAAATTAAATAAATTAATTGCTATATGTGTATATATATATATATATATATATATATATATATACCTGATTATCTACATACTTACAATTAATTTGTACAACCAAGAACAATTCGGAGTGAGAAGTGAAACGCTCCTGCGTAAGAGGTCCTAATTTGATGCCCATAAACTGTAAAATGAACTCGTAGCATTCCATATTCAAGTAACGAAATTTCCTTTATTTCTCCATTAATCGATTGAAACATCACCTGTGAAACGAGCTTTCCTTTCTTTTCAATCTCCGTTGTCTTTCGTCTACTTCTTTTGCCGTTTTTAGGTGACAGCGAAGGGGGCTGGAAGGGTGCGATCTGAATCGACAACCGGGAACCGAACGGAAAATTGTAAAACACGAAAGAAAGAAGAAAGAAAAAAAAAAAAAAAACGAAAGACCGAACCGAATCATTCGACGACACGTTAAAAGCTTCTTAAAATCGTACAAAGCACCAGTGCGTACAAATTCACTCTTCCTTTCGTCTATGCATACACAACATTTGAGAATCACAAATGTTCTCTCCCTTTCATACGTATTATAATTATTCATCCTTTCTGTTCAAATTTTTTTTTCTTTCTTTTTTTTTTAATTTCTTTTTCTCTTTGTTTCTTTTTACCAT